GGAGGAGAACAGAGGAGAAGGGATTGCAGCATGGCCCCCCCCCCCCTTAGGGGATAATTTCTCACTTTCCCTCTCACTGTCTCTGTCTCTGTCTCTCTCTCTCTGGTAAATCTCCCTAAGACAAAAACCTTTAAAAATAGCAATATAATAATATTCTGTGCCATATTATAAATGGAAATATTATATGAATCTAAACATTAAAAACTAAATGTATCAAGGCAGATGATTGCACAATTTGGACCTGGCGAAGTGTCAAGGCAAAGTGTTTCATACACATGATCAAGCACTTGTGATTCAATGCAGCAAGCCCTTGTAAATATTCTTTAGTATATCAATAGCATTTTAACATAAACCTGTAAATCACATTTAACGGCTATGGAAAACTTTTTGGCACAGCACATGTGGCACTTGTAGTTGGGAAACATCGACTGAAAGTCAAGTGTAATGGGCTCAGATTATTAATGAGCATGACCTCAGCTTTATGAGAAACCAGAACAAACAAAAACACCCAGAAAACTGAGGGAAATCTCTTGCTCTCGGAATGAGGGTTTGCCACTCAGTCCCACAACCTCTAATGCTATGTGTTGGTAAGTGGCCCAGGTCAGTCTGGCCTCCTTCCGCCCAGATTCACACAGCTCTAGTCTGGTGGGAAAACGCCATGTCACTGGCAAGGTGGATTGAAGGTGATGGAAATGCACTTCTACTTCTTTATCACAGTGATCACTGCCACCTTCTTAGAGTCTGAGAACAGAACTACAAAATAATTCTCACCTCCTAGTGGATCAAGTGATCAGCTGCAGGCTCACCCTGTGCCTCCCGAATCTTCCGTTTTCATCTCAGAGACACTGCCCTCCTCATCTCCCACCACAAGTGCCAGTGGTCGCCCTATCGCAGGGCCCTGAATGGAGACCAGGATCCCAACCCAGCTGTGGGAGGGAACCCGGACTGTATACGCCTGTGTGTTTAGTCAAGGAATGCCTGGGACCACCAGAAGCTGGAGGAGGCTAGGAAGGACTCTCCACTAGAGTTCTTGGAGGGGCTGTCCTGCCAATAACTTGATTTTGGACTTTTGGCCTCTAGAACTGTGAAAGAACAAGTGTCTCTTGTTCACGGCCACCACGTGTGTGCTCTCGGTTACAGCAGCTCCAAGAAACTTGCAGGGGTTGTTGCTGGGAATCAGAGATCTTAGCAGGAGCTTCAGGAGCTGAGCTGATGGCTGAGTGGCAGAGGAGACCCTGGAGCCCCCCTCCCCCCAAACAATCACCATCAGTATCCCTGAGGGGACTTAGAACACAGCCCTATCAGGTCACAGTGAACAGATGCCAGATGGTAGGCACGTTCTTGAGTTCTTGACGTTAACCTGTCTCTAAAAAGGAAAGGAGTATTTATTCAAGTGTAACTGAGCCTTAAGGAATTAAATTGAATTGCTATAGCAAGATTACATTTTCAGTCATCAACGGAAACACAGAGATCATGAACTAAATTAAATTCACTTGCGGAGAAATCAAGAAAATTATTTTAGTGTCACATATTTAACTTTATATCTGTATATTTTCATACAAGCTCTCCTACGCATCAAGGTTGTTGGAGGAGGATTAGATGGAAAAGCAATAGCTGCGATTTGTTGAGCTGTCATTATGAGATCTGTAATATTTTACAGATGAGGTCACCAAAACTCAACGGGGCCACTAACTGCCAGGAGCCTGTTTGCTAACCAAGGTCTCTAACTCCAAGCACATGCTTTTATTCTGCTGGGCTGCCAGCCTTTGCTTAATTTGATTGTACACCTCACAGTGCTGATTGCGATGTAGTATCTGTGTTCCTGACCAGGCAGCGTCTGACACTTCAATGGAGTCCAATCAGCTGTTTGTCGAATTTAATCGAATAACATAACCCCACTGTCCTTATGTAGCCTGCCATCTGTCTGGTGTGTTGGGGAGATAATTAAAAATAAAATCTCCTGCCAACCCAGAAAACCTCTCCATGAAGGTAGAAGAGAAAGAAAACAATTTTATTATTCAAAAAGCACTAAACCAGACTGCAATGCACATCACAGGAAACCCCCGAAAAAGGCCGCAAAGACAGAAAGAAATCTCACTGTCTTGTATCACATTATATACATGTTCCCCAAATTAAAACAAAAATAGTAATAATAATGGTAAGAAGACTTGACAGCACATTTTGTTAAATATAGTTCACCTCAAATTCACCTGCTGTTTGGGGTGACCCCCCGTGGTAGCCAATTGCTTTTATCCAAAGAAAAATGGATAACTCTAATCTCCATAAGAAGCAGTAGTCCCTTTCCCAACCTGGAGCCTGGCGCCTAAGGTAAACTCTGCCCTCCTGCAGAGAAGAGGAGATAGGGTCGCTATCTTCCTTCTGTTTACATTTCAAAGAGACAGCCTCCAGGCCCTTAGGAAAAACCTTCCTGGGGTGTAAAAGGGGCCAAAAGCTTACTTAGCTTTTAAAAGATTTATATACATCTCAAAAGGAAAGCGAAGGAGTTTACAATTACAAGCTTTCTAAAGCAAATGCACTAAGAAAAGGGGGGGGGGAACTCTCCCTTTTTTCTTCAAGGGAAACAATGTTTTCTTTTTATATTTGTGTTTGTTTTCTCCCTGGAGAGATGGGAAGAGCCTTTAAAGTAGTACTTCCAGCTATTGATACCTGCTCAAGAGCCCAGCAGGTAACAGAATTGGTGTTAAAATGGGTCCTATTGGCAGACAGAGACCTTCAACTGAGGCTCAGAATTTCCTGTGAGGATGCAGGAGAAGGTAGAGTCCTTACTTTTTATCATCAAGGTCATGATAAAGTGACACTACGAAATGTCCAGTTTAGAATCATTTAGAATAAAGTCTGGTGCAGAGTAAGCCCAATGACCCAGTGGCAATGGTATGGTAGACAGGTGACATTGGGAAAAAAAGAAAAAGAAAAAAGAAACAAACAAACAAAAAACTTCAGTCTAAACCTTTCTGTGTCTTCTTCAAGTTCCAGAAGGAGCCCAAAGGATATGGCTATTAGGAAGAACGGTGTTGGCACATATCCCAAGCCAAGCATCCTGTCACAATTTAATAATATTTATATAGTCATTAAACTTAGAAAAGAATTAGTCATTAACTTCTGCACAGTAATCTCTCAGGTACTTACAAGTCGTGGCTAAATTGCTTTAACTTTGTTTCCTTCATGTTAAGCCACCTAATATTAACAGATGGGAATAATTTGCTAAAAGCGAAATTAAATGGGAGAAAAAGATGATCAAATGAATGTGGGACTTCAGAGAATGTGAAGATGAAAAAGAACTGGAAATTAAAATATTTTAAAAATTCTACTGTTTTAGTTTCTTTCTTTTACCTTATTTACTTGTTCTAAAAGAAGCATGTATCCTTTTTTAAAAAAATTTGGTAAATTTCATGTAATACAAAATAGCAGGGGGATGGGATTCATTATTCCACTATCAAAAGGTAGGCACCATTAATATTTCTAAAGTACCTCCTTGTAGCATTTTTTCTATTATTCTTTGTACACGTAGTTGATTTCTACCATATAAATTTTTAAGTAATCTTGTAATGTAAACATTTTTGAATTACTTATTTAACTTTATTTATTATTTTTAAAATTGCTATAGAGGACAAAAGAGAGAGAGAGAGCCGCCAGGTCTAGGACTCATACAACAGTTGTTCATGTTGGAGTCCAGCGTCTTTAACCACCACGCCACCCACTGACCCCAGTGTGAACATTTTTGATAATGTAAAAATTCATGAAGCATTACTTACTGTATGTTTGGAAACTTCTCAATAAACAAACATTTACAGGAGGTTTTCAAAAAGTTCATTGAAAGGGTGGTCTCCATAGCCTCATGGTTAAGGAGTGGAATTGCACATGGCTGAAAGCAGTTTGATCCTGCCCTGGTGGCTTGGAAGACACACCAGGCATACATGGGCATGCTCCAAGTCCCAATAAGATGGAGAAAAGATAGAAAAAGGATTGTGGCTTGACCACACCCCATGGGGGGGTTGCTTTTTTCCCTCTATTTCTCTCTGGCAAGCACATGTATTCCTTGGCAATATAAAATTTTAAGAGTTCTTGGAAAATACATATTATAAAACACTGTGCATGACTTGAATTTTTTTGCACCAAAATTCATTTTAATTTCATTTTTCTTGAACTCTGAATTTTTCATATTGTCTCAGTTTCTGTAGGTCAGGAATCTGGGACAGGCTTAGCTGTGTGTTCCTAACTCTGTCTCATGAGATTGTAGTGAAGATATTAGCTAGAGCTGTGGTGACCTTGAAAACTTTCTTCCTACATGGGTCACTCGCATGGCATGGCTGTTGGCCAGAAACCACAGTTCGTCTTCACATGCCCTCTCTCAGGGCTGTCTGAGCATCCCCACAGCATATCACTGGCTTCCACCAGCGTGGATGATTCGAGAACTGAGTGGAGCCACAGTGTGTCATTCATTGCCTAGCCTTGTAGTCACATATAATCATTTTTGTAGATTACTGGTTACACAGACCAGCAATAGTCAGTGTGGGAGGGGAGAGGAGCTACCACAGAGGAATTTTTAATGGCTGCACGAACATTATCATATATATCTCCGTAACTGAATTAACTATTTATGCAAGTTGATACAGATTTCTATTATTTCATTATATAACCGCCTAAAGAGCATCTTAAGCTTTTCATCAATACTTCAGATTATTTTATTAAGATGCAATCTCAGAGGTCAGACTATTGACTTAGAAAAAAATTGTCTTAATTTGCTTTTTAAAATTGGCATCATTAAGCAAATTAATATTTACATTATTTTGATGAATTTGCATTTCCTCAGCTTTGTGATAAATGCCTTAAAATGCCTATGCAATGATTCACAATTGCATGTTTATTTTTCCCTTTAATAAATTCTATATTCAATATATTTTAGGTAAATATTCTATATTATACTATTTTGATATTAAATGGTGTGTGGGTTTTTTCATTGTTATTTAACCATTTTATAGATCCTCCTGAGTTTGTTTGTTGCTGTTATTTTGGACAACTTAGAACTTGATGAAGATCTAAAGAAGCTTAAACAAGTAAGTAATCTATGGGAAGTTTAAATAGTCTGCATTTTTAAATAAGGGTGAAAAAGTAAGGGCAAAACATGTGCTTGCAGATAATTGTAAAAGAGCATGAGCTCGGGGTGAGCAGTGGTGTGGTGGTTAAGGCACTGGATTCTCACATAGCCAACTGCAGTTTAAGTCCAGGCCCCAGTGGCTTGAAGATCATGCCAGGCATATGTGCATATGTGCCCAAGATCCAGAAAGAGAGGAGAATGAAAGAAGGGATTTCTCACTTGCTTATTCCCTCTCTCTGGCCAGCACATATGCCCTATGGCAAAAAATAAAAATAAGAGCTTGAATAAATAATAATGATAATAAATTATAGTAGGAATAATAGAATAGAATAAGTTTAAGTAGTCTGAGTTGGCAAAGTAGTGTTCTTTTTAAGTTTAGCTTTTATCCAGTACCATCAAAAGTTTTCTATTCCTCTGTAAGTACTCTAGGAATAGTGATGTATTATTATTTTTGAGCAAAAGTAAAATTGCATTGTACAGTAAATTAGATTTGGAGACCATTGTTCCTCTGTCACTAAATGAAGCTTGTTTAGAAATGAAATGCCTTAGGACAAGATTGCCATTTTGCATAATTGAACTTAATACTCTTGGTCATCATCATAAAAAAATTAAACATCGATTGCCTTTGACTGACCTCTAGACACTAGAGAGTTTAGTCTGGGTGCCAATAGTGATTATAAAAAAATGAATAAAAGATCAAATACATGCCTAGTTATGGATGAGGACACACTGGATTCATGGCAATGAAAATTGTACCCCCAAAATACAGAGATATGAACTTTATGTTATTAATGGTGCAAAGATTACAAGTGTGATAAACCATCCCCATAGTTTCTGTTGAATGGATGATGTTTGACTGCAATTTTCAACTCTAGCAAAGAGTATAGATGCTTTGAGAAGACAGAATTAAGAGATAAGAACACTGGGAAGGGTACTCTTGAATCATCCACCCCAACACTGGAAGAATTGTTGAGATGTTAACAAAGCCAAGGCTCTAAAACAATCTTATTTGGAATTACATGAAGGTCTTATACTTTCTGGATTTTCAAAAGATGTCTATTTTTAACAAAGCAAAAAAGATAACTTAATTCCATTTTTTTTAGAGAGATTTTTACTATAGGGCACATGCACTCGCTAGAGAGACAGAAAGTGAGAAATCAGTCCCCAGGGGAGATAGTCACACTGCAATCCTTTCTCATTTTTTTATTTTTAATTTTTGTCATATATATATCTAATAGTCACTTTAAGCATTTCATTTTAACACTGTGATCGCCAAAGCTTATGCTTTTTACCAATAGTAGTCAAGAAGAGAGAGGAAAACACATTTGATAAAAAGATTTCTGCTATGAGCATACTGAGGAATGCTTTAAGTTCTTTAACTGTCCTCTAGCTACACCGTGGGACTCTGTCTGGTGAGGCTTTTTCCCCCTAGTTCTTTGCACTTTGTGTCAGTAGGGTAGTTTCTTCAAATGAGAGTCAAGAAGTTCTTTTATGCCATTAATACAAATATCCTACGTGGTTTATAGTTGTAGAAAAAATAAGTAATATGTATATTCAAAATTGAAACTGGTAATCATGTAATTAGATATGACCAGTAAAAATCAGTTGGTGTTTAGAGCATAGATTTTTCTTTATACCATGTTTATTATGAGATATTTTTAATATCCCTGATAGAGTACATTAGAATGTGTAGAAGATCAAACTATATATATTGTATTTTTTAACTGCTGCTACTTCTGGGTTTCAAATTATTGGCCAAATAAAATCCCATGTAATTCCAGCCCATATTGGTAAAATAGCTTTTTTCTAGAAAGCTGTAATATAAATTTATATGTAGTAAAAATTTTTCAAGTTTGTGTATTCAAACCTAAGAATATTTTACAGTGTTGATTTGTTTTAATTTTTTTTTAGAGAGAGATATTTTACTATAGGGCATACACACTCATCGGACAGACAGAGACAAAGAGACAGAAAGAGAGAACTCATCCCCCAGGGGGGATAGCCATGCCACAATTCTTTCTCTCCATTTTCCTCTTGCAATTTTGGGCATGTATGCACACACACCTGGCATGAACTGTAGTAGACTACATGGGAGTCCAGCAATGTAGCCTTTACACCATCTGCTGGTCTCATTGTTTCAATATTTTAGCATACACACACACACACACACACACATACATATAGCCTATTAAATTGTTTATTTTTGTCATTTATGTATTTTAGAGTCAATTCAAGCATTATATATATATATATTTTTTTTTTTGAGAGGTTTCTTCGCCATAGGGCATGTGTGCTCTCCAGACAGACAGAGAGAGACAGAGAGACAGAAAGTGAGAAATCACCCCCCATGGGAGATGGCCACACTGCAATTCTTTCTCCTCCATTCTCCACTCAGGATCTTGGGCACGCATGCACGCGCACCCAGCATGAGTTTTAAGCCACCGGGTCCGGGACGCGAACTGCGGTCGACTACGTGAGAGTCCAGCGACATAGCCATTACGCTAACTGCTAGTCCCCATTTTATTTTATTTTTATCTGATACCCAAGTGAAAAATCAATTAAAAATTAGGACTTTTAACTGACATCTGACTTTCTTCCTAGACTACAAAGTTTTTATGAACAATATGGTGCTTCCCATTTTCTGTGTATTATTGGTTATAAAATGATTTCTATTTAATCACTTGATAGTACTGCTTTGTGTTTCTGGAAAACTGTACATAAAAACTGATTATCCAATTGTGCTAGCATACAAAAAGATCTGTGGGTGTTGAAACGTGTAGTTATAAATCAAGAGCTTCATTAGTACTTTTCACAGTGTTCTTTATTCATAATCGGATGGAAACTACATATCTATGAAATTCATCTGTTAATTTCACACTTGAAACTCAAAGTTCATACTTGAAATTCTTTGGAGTTGATATTACACTAAGTTAAAATGTTCCAGTTCGCTTTCTTCCATTTTTTGTATAAGAAATTTTGTGTTTACATTCCTGGTGTTTCTGATTTTTGGTGATCTTGGCCTTTAAAGTAAGTCTCATTTACATAGTTTCAAGAATATTTATGCACATGTACACACACCAACACCCAATGCACCTTCACACACCATGCACATAGTAATGTGGATACCTGAAATTTTAGGCTGTCTTTTACAGCTTCATTTAAACCACCAATGAAACTGGTACCTGATTTTTTTTTTTTTTTTTTTTTTTTTTTTTTTTTTTTTTCAAACCTTGACTTTCAATTTAAATGTCT